TGTGTGTGTGTGCATACTCACATATTTGTACTCGCCTATTTGTGGTTGCAGGGATCGATTCATAGCTCCTGGCCCCGCCTCTTCACTGATCACTACTAGGTCCTCTCCCTGCTCCATGAGCTTTATCAAACCTCGTCTTAAAACTATGTATGGTTCCTGCTTTCACTACATCACTTTCTAAGCTATTTCACTTCCTGTGTGTGTGAGTGAGTGAACGAGTCATGGGGCATCATTGGTGATGGAGGTGTGAGTTCTCATCTCTTGGCTTTGTTAATAAGAGTAAGGTCAGATCAGAGCTTCCTCAACCCCGCTGTTGATGGTGATAACAGTTATAACGGTTGGCGGTGGTGATAGTGGTGACATGGCGGTGGTGACAGTGGTGACAGGTTGGCGGTAGTGATAGTGGTAACATGTTGGCGGTGGTGATAGTGGTGACAGGTTGGCGGCGGGGAAAGTGGTGACAGGTTGGCGGCTGTGATAGTGGTAACATGTTGGCGGTGGTGATAGTGGTGACAGGTTGGCGGCGGTGATAGTGGTGACAGGTTGCCGGCGGTGATAGTGGTGACAGGTTGCCGGCGGTGATAGTGGTGACAGGTTGGCGGTAGTGATAGTGGTGACAGGTTGGCGGCGGTGATAATGGTGACAGGTTGGCGGTAGTGATAGTGGTGACAGGTTGGCGGTAATGATAGTAACAGTTTAGTTGGCGGCAGCGATGGTGGTAACGAAGGCATCAGGTGGTGGGAGATTCCAGATGGCACAACCGGTTCAACCACCTGTCTGGTGTGGGTCACACCCGTCCACTTTGCTACTTTTGTTACCTCAACTCTCACTCTCCTCATATATGGAATGTAATATGTATGAGCCACAGACATTTCACACCTTGTCATTTCGGTCTCATGGTATGACGTATTCACTTATTAACTTTTATTAAAAATGCAGCTATTTATGACGTATCACAAACATTTATAAGTTTGTAGCTTGCAACCAATATTTAATTACGGAAGAATATTTTCCTTTATATGAAGTGTAAGGTTTTGTCGTAATATTCTTGTTTCATTTTCAAACGCAGTCTAAGTCGCCGTACCGAAACATAATACCCCCATTCAACTCTCTCTCTCTCTCTCTCTCTCTCTCTCTCTCTCTCTCTCTCTCTCTCTCTCTCTCTCCTCTCTCTCTCTCTCTCTCTCTCTCTCTCTCTCTCTCTCCTCTCTCTCTCTCTCTCTCCTCTCTCTCTCTCTCTCTCTCTCCTCTCTCTCTCTCTCTCTCTCTCTCTCTCCTCTCTCTCTTTACACAAGAGTTTTTACAGTGTTAGCTCCGAACTACGTCAGCTCATTTGAAAGCTCTTTTTATTATAAAACATATAAATAGGGAATAAGATGAAATTGGAGCCAGCTGTGGGCCAATGATTTCATTTGGTCATCTGACGTTTTTTCACCAATGTTATGCTATACGCACATGTTCCAGATTCTAATCATTCTAGGGATAAATTATCTCAGATAAGTGAGCTTCTTGAGAAGGGTACGGCCAAGAGTGTAGTTGCTATTTGCTGCCCATCTTGTATAGAAGCTGTCTTCTCGTTGTCCACGAAGTGGAGCAACATTGGCCTTGTTTCACTCTTTTATGTGCGGGTTATTTGTGTATCGTTCCAGTCACGGTATTGTGCCTTTTTGTTATTTATTTTTGGCCTTGTTTGTAGATGAATGGTTCAGAGAACCGACATGTTGATAAATTAGACACATGTGCAACTCTTGAGTATCTTTGAGGAAACGTTTCGCCACTGTGTGGCGAAACGTTTCCTCAATAAAGATACCCAAGAGTTGCACATGTGTCTAATTTATCATTGGCCTTGTACATAACAGCGAGAGAACTTCTGCCTCATTCAGAGTTTGCCGCCTATACTGTTGAGTAGATGCGAGATACGTCTAAATGCTTTTAGCGTCCTGGCTGCCTTGCTTGCAAGATTTTCTGTGTGGTTCTTTATAGTCAGTTTGTAATCAAATTTCGCTGTATAGCCCTCGTGGCTTAGCACTTCTTTTTTATTATAATAATAATGTAATCAAATTTCACCCCAAGGATATCGACCTCATCCCCGGGTTCCAACACTTTCTATTCATTCTTTCTGTGGAAAATTACATTTATCTGAATGTATCATTATGTACATAACAGTAAATGAACAAAGATAATTATTATTTATCAGTTAGACAAGTAGGAATTCGGCACACGTAGGTCGCAAAAAATGTCCCCCATGGATACTTACCACTGTCATATCCACAAGTTACTCTGGACCCATTAATTACAAATGAAATATGTATCACCAGGAATTCTGGTAAATACATAAATTTTTGGACTATATTAAAATTAATAAACGATTATATATACATGTATACAATTTACATAACAGAAGGAGAATATCTTAATATTACTCACCAATTTGACTGGAGATTAATGTGCATCATACTCAGAAAACCTCATTCTAACTAAATTTATGAAAATAATACTG